ACCCTAGCACGTTTTTTTGGTCTCCTTAGGTAGGGTTAGTGCTAGGGTTAGGGTTAGACAAGTCTGCTAACCCTAACCCTAGCACGTTTTTTTGGCCTCCTTAGGTAGGGTTAGTGCTAGGGTTAGGGTTAGACAAGTCTGCTAACCCTAACCCTAGCACGTTTTTTTGACCTCCTTGAAAATAATGCTAGGGTTTCTAACCCTAACCAAGTTGGGGTTAAAACCCTAATGACTTTTTGGGGTTATTAGTGTTAGGGTTAGGGTAACATTGGCTTATAATTATGAATATTAATTACTTAATAACAATTGTTTAATTAATGCATACCATGCATATTTTCGTGTTTCTCGCACGGCAGCGGGTTTCTCTATAAAAGGAAGCGCACGTTGGATGTTTTAGTCAGTTGATTCGCGTCGCTTCTGATTCGAGGACGGCGTTCATGTTCGTTGTTTTACAGGATTCCATTCCTTCAATTTTATTAAATCATTCATGTTTAAGCTGTTGACAGCAAGGATAAAGAGGTAAGGCATCGACTCGTGTATTTTTAGCTCATTACAGTTGTTATTTATCACATCTATCCTGTTTATTGATAGSAACCTTAGATTCGTAGTTTTTACGGGCTTTTGGGGGTATATACTCCATGGCAGACTGTCATAGATGCACCGGTATTATTATTGTGGCTCGAGGGTTAGGGTTAGGGTAGTCCTAAATATTATATGTAATATGTTTAAACTTGGGCAATCTGCTGCACGCAGATACCACATAGAAACCCAAAATTCATGTGCTGTTTTTACGTGCTTTTGAGGGTATATACTCCATGGAAGACTGTCATAGATGCACCGGTATTATTATTTTGGCTCGAGGGTTAGGGTTAGGGTAGTCCTAAATAATGATAAACTTGGGCAATATTCTGAACGCAGATACCAGATAGAAATACCCCAAAATTATATTTAATAATATGAATGACACAAATTATCCTTGCTTTAAAATTCGTTTATTAATCAAATTTCTAAAAATTAATRATTTATCTTCTCACTGATACCATCAATGCATCATAAACGTACATCTAAACATCAMTCAAACACTATCAATCTTGACAAAACTATCATCATTTCATAAATTATTGACAAATAATCAACTG